TCATCACTGCGCTCCCGTCACACGAAAAGGAAGAAGATGTTGGACCGCATAGTGACTGGGAGGCATGTGGAGCAATAATTCGATTAGCAGCGGTATGCTTCCGTCAACCTCTACTCCACAGATTTATAGCGAACCCGAGACACTTCAGCAGGCATTGGAACGACCGGACCGCGATGACTGGATCGGTGCAATGGATCTACCGGCGGGACGGAGAGCTCTCAAAAATAAGTGGACGTATGCGCTGAGGATGGGTCCGGATTGGTACATCGAACGACATAAGGCCCGACTGGTGATTAAAAGGTATTCCCAATTCAAAGGCGAGGATTACGACGTAACGTACGCGTACAGTGGCACGGTATCCAACCATGCGCTACCTCTTTGCAATGGCGGCCAAATACGATCTGCTGGTGTGCCAAATGGATGCGGTGACTGCATTCTTGCAGTGTGAACTTCATGGAGAGGACATCTACATGGATCAACCGGAAGGGTTCCGGGACGCGCGGGCACCGACGAAGGTGTGCCGACTCAAGAAGGCCCTGTACGGGTGGAAGCCCGTAACCAGAGTGTGGATCGAAAACTCAAGGCGATTGGGTTGCAGCGATCTAACTATGACTCTTGCGTGTACTTCTGGTTCGGCGACGGAAAGGTGATCATCATTTCTGTCCTAGGGGCATCCCACTCTAAACTTTATATTTCTCGCGTTATACTCAGAAAGTTTTTACAAATACCTAAGATACCTGGAAATACTTAAAAATACTTAACCTATATTTTGCATTAGGTTGTTACCACCGTTGCTAAACACATTTTAGTTGTTTATTTATCGGATGTCGTCAAGGATTTTATGTGAATATTTGAAAGCTGCAGTAAGAATATTTTAAGCTTTAACAGCTATTTTAAATGTTTCTTTTGTTTTGTAGGCATCAAGATATGGTCGTTCGACATGTTACAGGAAGAAGTCAGATTGACAATCATGGAACCTTTCCCTTCGTTGTTTGTTTGGTTTTATCGATCGTTGCGTTATAAGATTAAGTACTTTTCGACCGTTATGATTAGGCCATGTAACACTAACTTAAGACTCTTAGGGCTATCGAATCTGAACAAGAAATTGTGAAGGTTTTCCAAACCATTCGCATTGTACTTGTTGCCGAGCTTGTGGCATCTGTTTCATCTTGTAGCTTCCCACCGAACGTGTTTATTCTGCCGTAAAGAGCATGTTTTGAAAATTTCAAAAATAATTTGAAATTGTATATAATTTGAATTGAATTGAACACGATGGTAGGTATTAGCCGCTTGTGCATGGTAAAAATATAAATTAAGATAAAACTGTAAAACACTGCAACATTTTGGCGAAATGCGCAGAATTATGGCGCACATAGTAAACATGTTGTAAATATGAACTACATTTTCTCGGATTTGGAACCGTCAATTCTCATCTGTTAAACCATTATTAGAGCTGGACATGATTGATAAGCTATGTGTTGAAGTAGAATTCATTTTTTCATTGATTCTATTAACTAACAGCAACGATTGTAAAAGTTAAATTTAATCAATTTATTTCAACACATGACATGTGAATAAATAAGTATCGATTATTCAAACTTTTGAATAAAAACAACAAACCAATCAACTTCTTTAACATGTCACGTTCAGGAAAGATCGAACAGTATAAGTTATAAATTGGTGGCGTAAGTGGGTAATTGTTGTCTACCCACTAAAATTTATTAAACTAGATTCATTTTTTTTTTAATATCCTTTGTTCCGTAATGTGTTGGGCATTTACTCACTTGTCCCACCACTTTTCATTTACCCCAATGTACCTTTCATTTTTAACTACCGCTTCGATTCAACCGGGATAATCTATTTGCCACTACGGATCAGAATGATAGTGATGCTAGTGTTTTTGAAATCCTCAATCACCAGCACCTTGTCGTTGGTGGTTCCAATTACTTAAACTGGGAAATTTATGTTCAAATGAAAACATCGACTGCAAAATGTCAATTAAACTACTTCACCAGTCTAAAGTAACACTGTTTTCTAACCCGAAAAGCGTAATGCAATCAGCACAATTTCCTACTGTAAAAGGTTCGTTTCATCGTCGTAGTTCGACAGGAAATGCGCAGCGTAACCCTGATATCGTTGACTTGTATAGGTATAGCCAAGAATTTTTTTCTTCTCCATACCTTATTCCTTGTTCCTTATTTTCTTAGGAATATGGAACAGCTCTGTAAAGGAGTCCAAATTCATGATAGCGCACTGGAAAGTCTGCTCGAAACTAGAGAGGTTCTAGAACCTCTCTACTCTAAAGCATCAGTAATTTGAATAACACGATTTTTTTACACTATTAGATAAGCGTAATTGAAATACATTTACCAATTATCATGATTTTATTGCAATTAAAATAGATTAAAACAGGAATTAATTTCATTTCATAAGTGACGAAAACTATAAAATTGACGGGGCTTACAACAACAACCAACAACACTAGCAACCGGTAACTACGATGAAAATTATGCAAGTTAAAATACTTAAAAATACTTAAGAATACCTATATTTAATGTATACTAGTACTAAAGTTTAGAGTGGGATACCCCTAGTTTCTGTCTATGAGGACGACTTTCTTCTGTTTCCAACGATCAAGCCTTGGTGGACGAAGTCAAGCAACAACTGTGTTCAAAGTTCCAAATGAACTACCCGCAGATCTTCGGACTGCGGGTCAACCGATCCGATTGCATGGTAGCCATAGACCAGGAGCACTATATTGCCAGAACCAGAAGTTGACGGAAGTAATGCAACCCGAATATGTGGAAGAGGAAGAGAAGATGGGAAGCACTTCATTCAAGGAACTCGTCGGTGGTTTGCAGTTTGTGGCGCAGTGCACTCGGCCAGATATCAGACACGTGGTGAGTGTTGTCAGCCAAACGAATTCTAGAGTACCTGGAGAGTACAAAAGGACTACAAGCTGGTGTATCGGGCCGACTGCGAGCAGAACTTCCAAGGATACAGCTATGTGGATTGGGCGAACGACGTCGAAACTCGGCGTTCCATTACTAGCTACGTGTTCCTGCAAAGTTGAGGTGCTATTTATAGGAGCTCGAAGAGACAGTCCATCGTAGCGCTTTCCACCACCGAGGCTGAATATATGGCACTCTCTTCTGCCACCCAGAAAGCGGCATGGTGGAGGGGATTCCTGCAAGAGCTTCACGGTGTCAAAATTTCCGTTCCGATCAACTGCGATAATAAGTGATCAAGCCTTGAAGGATGGCAGCAGATATTTTTACGAAAGCACTAGCGAACACAAAGCTGTTTGAAGATAGACAAATGTTAGGAATTCACGATTTCCCGCTTAAGGGGGATGTTAGAACATAGTATGCGTTGAATTCGTTACTTGCACTCTAACTTGAGTAGACGTTTCTATCAATAATTCATTTGACCAGCATGACAAGAAATGGTTCTGCACCCAAGTTGTTGACGAAAGAGAAAGTCGATCAAAGGTACTTAGGACCCAATAGATTGTTCAGCTTGAACTCTCTGCAAGGTTTAGATTCTCAACAAACCAATACATTTTACTTTATATTGCACTTGTAGTTGTACCAACTTTTTGTAACCTTGCTTTTGTTCAGACTCGCATTGACAATGATTTTGGATTCATACGAATTGGAATGGGATCGATCCTAAATCAATGTAATTTTCCTATTAGACAGTCCCCACTCACGACGTTAATGGCATTCCAATACCTAATCATTTCAAAATTAAGGCTCAATTACAGAAAAACTATTAAAACCATTGCTTCCTACATTGCATTCCCAGTACGGATCAAGCAACCACCACTGCAACGACGCAACATAGTATCATGCTACATATTTTATCCTAGTTAGCACTATTGCATTCTTCTACATGATCTAAGTTAGTGCTGCCAAATCACCCTGAACCGCTGATTTCGTCGGTAGTATGTATGTTATGTTTTTCAATGTTATCTAAAGCATCTCTGAAATATATGACACATCAAACTTAAACAAATGCTGATATTTCCTATCGATTTCCCTAAAAATGTGAATTTGATTCTGAATTGACACTATCTACCGTGCTGAACAATGTGCGTGAATCTGAAGTTTCAACACTAAGGGATAAATGAGATGGACTTACAAAAAATCAGTTCTGTTCCATGATTTTCGTTACGTGCTCTGATAGAAAAAACATAAATAAAACACAATATCATAAGCTATTACATAAGGCCAACGCGAATGAGAGTGTATTTTAGTAGCTCGAAAAATATCGATATATGAATAAATATGGATAAACTACGACTCCTTTCCTGCTAGGTTTTTTTTTTGTTTGTTTGCCACGTGCAGTTTCAATCACAATACTTCAATCTGTTCTCCCATCACTTAATACTCGTTTTTTTTTACTTCACTTACCAGATAAAGACAACAAGAAGATTTGTATAAAAAATAGAACAACTTTTAGTAATGAACCGTTGCATGCTCTTATAATAAATGTGACAAAAAACAAAGTTCCATTGTGTGTTTGTATGAGTCAAGCAAGAATACTGAATGTTGTGAAGCGATTGCTTTCGGATTAGCTGCTCTGTTGATTCTTTTGATGATGCTATGATGCTTGTATGTACAGTGTGACACTTATAATTTGTTTAAGCTTGAAAGGAATTTGCGTTTTGTTCATTGGACGGATTTGGGGGTGAATTCTAATGGAATGCGTTCCGCGAATGAAGCTGAACAGTTCGAATGGAGCATTCAAGCGATGCCTTACTATGTAGCGTATATCACTAGAGCAGATTGAGTTTCCTTTCTTAACATTACCTCCTTCCTAGTATAGTTGAATGTAAATGAATGTGACTAGTCTACGCGTAAGTAAGGTGAAAGTTAACTGGTTAGTTTTGCTCTATAGTTAAATGCATCCAAATGGCAACAGTGAAAAAAGGTACACGTTGGTAAAAATAGTAAATTCAAAATTGACAAACCACTGCCTTGTTTAGCACAAATTCGTTTCTCTTTAATTAACAAATGGTTTATTACTTGCTAAATATCGATTGTTTGTTTTGTTTACAAATAACAATAGCATTTACATAGAACTATCTAAATACTTATTGGTTGGTTTGGTTTGTAAAAGTTTGGAGAGACTGGATTGTTAAGGTTCATTTCATTTGGAATAAATCGTGTTTTGAACGCGAAAACGTGTACACCTTACTGCGCTAGTAAGAATTAGAGAGTGATAGTCGAGGAAAAATTCTGCAAATCATACAAACAATTCTGCAATCATTCATACAACGTAACAAATTGTAGTTCTTTAACGATCTCAATTACACCACTACTAGTAAGAGACTAGAATCGTTAATCATGGTAAAAGTTTCCTCCTCCCTTGTTCGATTTGATCGTTTTTGGTGCGCTCAATTCTAACTCCTAGTGTCTAAAGATGGAAGTATTTGAAAAAGTTATGATTTTAGTTAAGATCTAAAAATTTACAATCAGCGCGAGTGATACCGAGAGAACCCCCTACATCTACGTTTGGAGCGCATTTAATTGTCCTTTTTGATATTTAGTGCCTTCCGCAGGTTCTCCCTAAAGTACCGCTTCAGGGTGATTTGGTAGCATTACGAGGTTTTGTGTTTCTTCCTTGGATCTCGCCGAGCCATTTCGGGCGTCGAGTGGAGTGGCAGCTCCCGCCACATGATCTAAAACGAGATAACATTATCAGAATGGTACTTCACGGCGCGGGAAGATCCTCCGTACAATTTCCTCATCGTCGGGAACGCGTGACAGAAGATCGAGCACTTCGTTGTTGGGAACACTGTGTGGTCGGACGATGCGGCGGCTGAACTTGACCAGGCCCCAGAGAAGCAGCAGCACCCGGATTGGGACGTAGTGCAGCACCAGGCAGACGATGAGCAGCAGAAACGCCGTCAGCCAGCTCAGCTCGGGGACGGAGAAGTTGAAGGTGCTGGAAAGAAAGGTGAATAAATTTGATATCACTACACTGAGAAAATTTCAAAGTTTTTTTTTATGTGTCGCCTTGTGTGACCACACATACTATTCATTTGACACATCAATTCCATGTGTACTACTGAGTGGATTCTGTTTATGTGTGGTTACATGAAATTCGTCAATAAAAATGTGTGGAATTTTTGAATATACATGTCAGAGTTATTCAAAATAACGAGATTGTTCCACCCCATTCAATCGGTTCTCCTAAAATTTGAACTCATTTGGTTGTGATCTCATACTGCACTGGTTTTCACGGTAATGTGTCACTCGGGGTAATGGTATTCGATTCGTGTTATCGGATCCAGGTATGTCGTGGTGGTCACCCATGGTTACTCCATGAGTAATGAGCACTGTTTATTTTTTTAAATCATAATAAACAAGCGTAGAAATATGGCTCTACATTCGCTTCTCTTAAGTACACTATTGACGGTAATCATTTTCCAAAACATTTGTTTTACCACTGTACAATTTCACAAGCACACATCTGGTGATCTACTTAAATGAATCTACATGTCCGCTGCAGAGAAGCATCACATTTAATTTTCTCTTCTGCATAAATTCTGGATGGCGAGATCGGTGCCAGTGAAAAGGCGAAGTGGAGGGATTCAATGAACCTTCACCTTAAAGTGTTGTTCAACATAAAGCGTAAGGGATAAGAGCTACACACCTTCATACGTGCCCAGAGATTGACCTGTACCGAAAGCTGTGCCAAGTGCTGTGCCGAACAACGTAATAGGCACAGTTGTCAATCAAGGTGTCAATATTCCCTTGTGTTTACATTCTCAATTTTTCTGATGAGCATGGTAAGCATTCAGCTGCTCTTCAATCTCATTAGAGTGTTAGCGGATCGGGAAATGTAAGAGGAAGAGTAGCTGGTGCCATCAAGCACCAGGCTCCGGTTCGATGTTCCTTTGAGCTGCTGTTTCCTTGCAGATGTACAGAAGTGAAGGCGTAACCCGATCGATGGTGGATGAAATTGCCACCTGCTGTCTGTCAATTTTTTCCCGGTTAAACTAACTTAGAACTCGAACGGGACAGTAGAGTTCAATCCTACCCTCCTCGAGCCAATTGTTAGGTAGGCTACCCATTGCACAGGAGCATGATACGAGCTAGTTCAACAGAAGGATAATGACAGAGATGCATCTGAAAAATGACCTGATCTGATGACGGGATGTGCTTGATGTCGAACTCGTGGAATAAAATGTAAGCTGACCTGCTGCATGGCCAAAGTCTTGGAGCGGATGGTCAACAGAAGGCTCAAGCAATACCTGGAGTCTAAGGGACTGCTTGACCATCGACAGCACGCCTTCAGTCAAGGGTACGGTACCTCCACCTACTTCGCCACTCTTGGAGAAGTCCTGAAGGAGGCACAGGACCAAGGCCATCATACGGAGATCGTCTCGCTGGACATCTCCAAAGCATTCAACAGAACGTGGACACCAGCAGTAATGAAGAAGTTAGCCGAATGGGGACTAAAAGGACGCATCCTACACTTCGTCCGAAACTTTCTGACCGACCGATCTTTTCGGGTGTCGGTCGGAAACGTCCAATCCAGAAGGTTCAGCGAAGAAACCGGAGTACCACAGGGTTCGGTGATCGCGGTCACCCTCTTCCTGGTGGCCATGAACGGGGTCTTCGACAAGCTACCCAAGAACATATATATTTTCGTCTACGCGGATGACGTCCTCATTGTAACGGTGGGCCCCACCCTGCAGAGGACGAAATTAAGGGCGCAAGCGGCAGTCTCCTCGGTGGTCAGATGGGCTGATTCCGTTGGGTTCCAGCTTTCCGCCGGCAAGAGCGTGCGCTGCCATATATGCACCACCCGGCATCGGTACAACGGACAGCCCATCATGATCAAACAGCAAACGATACCGACCAAAAACACAATAAGGGTCCTGGGAGTGCTCCTCGATCGGAACCTATCCCTCGAGCCGCACTTCCAACAGGTGAAGAAGGACTGTCGTAGTCGATCCAACCTGATGAAGACCATCTCCTGCCCCCACCGATCCAACAACCGTGAAATCCGCTTCCGAGTAGCCCGAGCCATCATCGACAGTCGCCTATTGTACGGCGTAGAACTAACGTGCCTTGCCGCCGAGAAAGCCGTCCAAATCTTGGAACCGGTCTACAACGGATACGTAAGAACAGTCTCCGGTCTCCTGCCCTCCACCTCGGCCGACGCCGCGTGCGTTGAAGCCGGTATTCTGCCTTTTCGGCTCGTCTACACCGCAGCTACCGCTACCAAAGCCGCTGCCTTCCTCGCTAAAACGTCGGGAAACAGCAGGATCTTTCTCCTCGACGAGGCGAACCGACTCCTCCGCACGGTCGCCGACGTAGATCTCCCTCCAGTGGCCAGGGTCCACTGGCACGGAGACAAAAGTTGGCAATCACATCAGATCAGAATCGACAGCCGAATCAAGGACCGCTTCAGGGCAGGAGACAACTCACTGGCTTTGCGCCGGACAGTCGTCGAAACTCTCGGGGCGCACTATCAAGATCACGAAATCAGGTACACTGATGGCTCGCTCTCCAGCAGCGGTTTCAGGAGATAGTTTGGTCGTCAGCAATTCACTTCCGGCCCAGTGCTCGGTGTTTTCCGCTGAGGCAGCGGCCGTCTTTCACGCAACCACCCTTCCGGCCAATCGGCCGATCCTCATCGTTACCGACTCACAAAGCGCAATAATGGCCCTAACCGATGAAGCACCAAAGCATCCGTGGATACAAGGGACGGTAATGCATGCGCCGCCCAACACCGTAAACATGTGGGTACCCGGGCACTGTGGCATCCAGGGGAACGTGATCGCCGACCACCTCGCCGGCTCAGGCCCCATCGGACCCAGGTTCTCTGACAATGTTCCGTTCCAGGACATCAAGAAATGGATCAAGCGGACGGTTCGGAGAGCGTGGGACAACGAGTGGAGGAACAATCGAACTCACCAACTACGAAAAATCAAGGCGACCACCGATCCCTGGAAGGATCGACCGAGCCTCAAGGAGCAGCAAGTGGTGTCCAGGCTGCGCACCGGGCATAGCAGGGCCTTCCATAATTTCGGAGGAACACCGTTCCGGAGAACCTGCGAAACCTGCGGAGTGCCAGCCTCCGTAGAACACATCCTCATCAACTGTGTGGAGCTCGAGGACCTTCGGGTTGCCTTCGGTCTGGAGGGAACCAGCATACGAAGTCTGCTTGGCGACGAGTCCCCGGCAGCAGACGCCCTCATCGCCTTCCTGAAGGAGGCGAATCTTTTTTACAACATTTGAGTGTTTTCTGTTTGTGCTTTTGAATTCGTTGGCCCTTTTGGTAGTGTTTTTACAATATTTTATATAATTAAGCTAAATGCCCACTTGCCAAGATTGGGATCCTCCTTTTGAGGTCCCAATTCTTTTTTTGTAATTTTTAAAAGAGATGAACTAGCCTTAGGCTAAAAATCTCTCTAATAAAGGAAAAAAAACTATAGTGCTAAGGAAATCGTACACCGATTCAGGTATGATAGCGTATGTGAGGTTAATACGTATTAACATCCCCCAGCAGTACTGGGACACTAACCACTTATATAGACATCCCTATAAAGTCCTGTGGATATCCCATCGAAGTCCATACTCGACAAGACCGGTTTTCGAATCTGGCCGGTGGTTGCCCTCCTAAAAAAAACTCTATTTTCTTTATTGATTATTCTGCATAACAAACTTGTAAATGTAGCTCAACTCTAGCAGAAGATCCTGCTTTGATTATTTGCTGTACGCTTCGAGATCGGATACCAACGACAGTACAAAATAATATTTAGTCCAAAAATAAGAAGCGTATTCTGGAATAAAGTCTCCAGTGGGTGACCTTTGGAGATGGTCATATTGATGTGCTTGTTTGCGTTGCCTGCCAAATTTATCATTAAAGGCAACCGGCTGGCATTTTTCACAATGACTCCATCCTCAATCGAAAACGTGTCGGTCGGTAAGCCCCAGTCTGACCAGCTTCTAATTTTCATAGATTTACCCAGTCCCAGCCCCAGTCAAAAGTTGTCTGATGTACACACAATTTCCTTCTCAATTCCTCGATGATATGATAACAAACTTCTTACTGTGACGTACCAAAGAGGTAACTCTAAGACTAGTAGCATAGAGGTAACTCTAAGACTAGAAGGTCCCGAAATAACGTGCTCTACTTTTTGGCTCAGCTCTGGTACTCTCTTCGGTCCCAAGCTAATCGATTCACCTCTCGAAACATAGGAAAAAACAATAACCCCTCATTTTATCTGTTAAACTTTCATAGCGAATCAAAACAAACATTGCGTAGTACTAGAATTTCGACTAGAATGGGGTACGTTATCGATTTGCTTGGGATCAATCGATGCATCCCTAGAAACATAGGAAAATCCACGAACCCTTCATTTTATCTGTCAAACTTGCATAGCGAATCAAAACAAACATAGTGTAGTACTAGAATTTCACCTAGAATGGGGAACGTTAATCGATTTGCTTTGGACGAACAGGCTAGTCAAGTAGTGAGTCAATTTATCGTTAGTTTCCACCTGTTGGACGTACTGTGAACGTACATAAACTGACGTTCAATGTTTCCAGGCTTGTTTTTGATTTTCATTATCACGGGATGCAACCAGTCTGCACCATAAGATTAAGAGATTTCGCCAATCGCATTCCGAACCGTACCGTATTGGACGACCAGATCTTCTAGACTTTTTACCAATCGTCGCAGGAGGTAACTAGTTCCAGTCGTCTTGACTGCCGTATCGACAAGACCCTCTTGACCGGCCATGGTGTGGATGAACTCGATTAAAGAGAAGCCCGAATAGAAGCTGTTCTGTACGTCTTTGATTTCTATATGGGGGTACACTTTATGAAAAACGAAAATGGAACATGTAACAAATTAAGAAAGATTTTGAACGTTAATAACTCAGCTGCCCCTGGTCCAATTTCAATAATTTTATCACCAATCGATCA